CCCAATGGTATGCTGGGGTGCATTAGGCAGAGTGTTGCCAGCAGGTGGAGGGAGGTGATCCTGCCCCTCGACTCAGCCTTGGGGAGGCCACATCTGGAGTACTGTGTCCAGTTCTGGGCTCCCCAGTACAAGAGAAACATGGCCCTACTGGAGAGGGTCCAGTAGAGGGCTACGAAGATGATGAGGGGACTGGAACATCTCTCCTATGAAGAAAGGCTGCGAGAGCTGGGCCTATTTATCCTGGAGAAGAGAAGGCTGAGAGGGGATGTCAGCAATGTGTACAAGTATCTGAAGTGGGGGTGTCGAGAAGATGGGGCCAGACTCTTCTCCATGGTGCCCAGTGACAGGACAAGAGGCAATGGGCACCAACTGAACCACAGGCAGTTCCATCTGAACATAAGGAAAAACTTCTTTGCTGTGAGGGTGACAGAGCGCTGGAACAGGTTGCCCAGGGAGACTGTGGAGTCTCCTTCCTCGGAGATATTCAAAACCCACCTGGACGTGATCCTGGGAAATATGCTCTAGAGGATCCTGCTCTAGCAGGGGGATTGGACTAGATGATCTCCAGAGGTCCCTTCCAACCTCAACCATTCTGTGATTCTGTGAATCTGTGAAGCTACTGGAGAGAGTGCAGTGAAGGGCCACTAAGGTGATTAAGAGACAGGAGCATCTCTCATAAGAGGAAAGGCTGAGGGAGCTGGGCCTGTTTAGCCTGGAGAAAACACCAAGAGGGAATCTTATCAATGTGTTTCAATATCTGAAGGGAGGGTGTAAAGAGCATGGGCCAGACTCTTCTCTGTGGTGCCCAGTGACAGGATGAGAGGCAATGGGCACAAACTGAAACACAGGAAGTTCCATCTGAACATCAGGAAAAATTTATTTCCTGTGAGGGTGACTCAGCACTGGAATAGGTTACCCAGAGAGGCTGGGGAGGCTCCCTCCACAGGGAGATATTCAATAGCTGTCTGGACAGTGTCCTGGGCAACCTGCTCTAGAGGACCCTGCTTGAGCAGTGGGGTTGAATCAGATGATCTCTAGAGGTCCCTTCCAACCCCAACCGTTCTGTGACTGTGAAATTCCTACAGCCAGGGCAGCTCTCCCAAGTGCTTCCTTAGGTTCCAATTTAAAAAAATGTTTTCTTTCTGTAAACCTGTTGGAGAGAAAGGGAAAACTACTACTTTCTTTTCCCCTTTCCATTCTTTCTCCAGATAACATATGACCAAGAAAATAAGAGAAGAATACTGAATTTGTTTCATCCAAACTGATCCACTGAACATATGAGAGAGAAAAACAGCTGCCGCTTGTGAGAACTTGAAGGGCAGGAAGGTCACTACAGACTTCTGCTCATGGAAATAACACTTTGGGATACCCTATCCATTCCTAACACTGCACCCTTAACAGTTCCTGAATCTTCTGGAATATGTAGAGCTACCACAGTTTAGGAGTTTAAAAGGGATTTTACCACATGATACAATTATGGCAATTTCATTATAAACTAGCACCCAGGTAGTCTGATTTGGGTAGTAATATTCCTGTCATCACTGTTCTGAAAGATTCCAGTACAACCGATTTCATTTGGGTTATATCTGAGATCTTAAGTGTGACGTTTGACCCCGTTCCTTTGGTAATGCCTGAGAAAACGGTTATCAGGACCTGACTTGGCAAACTCCAAGCTCTTGACTGGAGAAAGAGCTGGGCTGGGACCCTGCGCCATTGCAAGCACAAAGGTAGATGCAAGGATGTTGAAATGGGATGTCTTTCACATCATTCCTCAAATTTAAATACCTGGGCCTACTGGGCCAACAAGAAAAATGTTGACTGATGCTAGGATAAAATAGATTAGGTAGGTAGGTAGGATGCTGCCTAACATTCACCTGATTTGCTACCATTATCTTGCAGATAATTCAGTTATATTAATGGCAGGATTAATTAATAATTATGGTAAAATCACAGATTTTTCATTTTAACCTTATAAAAATTGAGACCTCGAAACGTACTTCGTATCAAACTATGTCTTTGTGTTTTTCTCCAAGTTGATCTACCAAAGTGAAAATGCAGCAACACTACTAGTTACAGAAAGGAACCTAATAAAGTCAACATCTGAATATAAAAAATATTGAAAAAAAACTGAGTATAGATTATTAATTGACTAAAGCAAAACATACAATACAATATTTAGAGGAAAAGCTGAAAAGTAGGAATTGAAATATTTACAGTTATTTTTGCCCCCGTCACTGATGTTTCCATTTCTCTGATTTACCCTCAATAGGAGGGCAATATGCTTTCTATCAGGACTATTCATCTCTATTGAAGAGTCAGAATAATGTAAGTAATAAAACAAAATTAAAATATGCCTACACTTTTTGCAACATATTTTAGGGTGTTTTTTATATATCACCTTTAAGAAAGTTAAGGTAAACCTAGACACTGTGTTGATTTACTATGATAAATAGTAAAAATACTTTCATTGCTGTTTTTATTTCTACTGCATCTGATCTAGCAAATTCAGTTAGCAGTCTTTAGA